ATCGCTTCGGCGGTTTCATCACGGTTACATCACTTGTAATGTGGCAGAAAATACGACACGATGCAATAGCTTGGCGATACATTTTTTCTTCTAATAACATCAAGATAATACAAGCATAAAACTTGTTGAATATAAAAAAAGCTGGTACAAGAAGAAAGGATAAAATTACAAATTAAATTTCTGCCGATGAAAATGATCGCGTTTTTGAAGACGAGATAAGAAGGAGACCCTTGTTGAGAAATATAGCGTCGACAGCGCTTGACGTATAATAAGGATTTTACGCGTTGTTTGTACACGTGCTTGGAGATTCCGCGGCGCGGAGTCTTCGCGGCCCATCGACGGATTTATTTTCGTACGTCGAAGGCGCAGCCGCTCTTTGCGTTGTCACTGTTACATACGGTGCCACTGACGCCGAGGCGAGTTTCCGAGGCGACCGACGTGGAGAGCCCCGGGGATCGGATATAGTGCCTAAATATAGGAATGAACAAATTATGAGACGAGTGACTAACGCTCTTAGCTGTTCTTCGACGGCTCGTAGCTTCAGCGACTTGTGCCGTCCAAAAGAGCTAATAAATTAGAGAGGACAGAGATCCGCTTCTGTGTCGATTAGCATCCTATCCCGTACACGCCGTATACCCGGCTACTTTATAGCGAATTACCTACACATCGAGAACGAAGCATTTTTAATATATCGAATATTCGTTGAATTAATGTCGCGGGATAAATTATCGATTCGATAATTTTCAAAATTTATTTGGAGAGAAGGAATTAGAGAAAAATTTAAAATGTTTGAGATTATATTTTTCGTAATTAATTATTTTACTGTTGACGTGGCGTTAGACAAGTATGCGATGTTTATTAAAATATTCATTAGAGACGGAATAATTTGGTGGCTGCTGTCCTTTAATTTTACTTTAAATTGAAAAAATTAAATAAGGTAATTATCCCGAACACGTTGCGTATATTCATGGCGCAAATTAATTATGTTTTGACACGCATCAGCGAAATGTACTCACATTTGTACAGTTTTAATTAACTCTCATTTAAATAACGTATTTATCTTACAAAAATATCTTAAGTGTCATTTCGCGAAAATAATTTTTCTTCATACAAATAAATGTTACACTAAAAAAAACGAGCATACAATTCAAAAAAATTTCGTATAAATCCGTCCAGGCGGATTGTCCAGTAGCTATTACGTCTGGCATTAAATAGAGAGATGCGATCTACGTCGGTAGCGGCGCGAATGAAGAAATCACGACGCGTCCTTCATTCGATCCGGACATCGGGGGATAGATTATCGTTGAGAAAAACGACCGTCCTTCTTCGTGCGTCAAAGCGAACCGGGGATAAACCTCACCAGCCGTTGCAGCGTCGCGGACGTTAAGCTGCTTCGGGCTCGAAACGGATTTAACCGGCCACTAATGGTAATGCGACAGTGACACGTATATGTCGGCTAATAAACTCATGTTCGCCGACGTCTGCCGCGTCGTGAAATTCAATCACATCGCGACGCCAGTTGATTTCAATGCATCAGCGCGACAAAATATCCGAACCGAACCCGTATTAAACAAAAAGCCGAATCCGCCGCATTTGTATTTAGGATTAATTACGTCACCTCGCCAATTTGGAAAAAAAAAATAATCCGAACGAACACGAGAGGAGAGACTCCGCGGTTTTGATTTTGAAAGAATTATATGAAAAATTCGCGCGAATCTCTCTGTGAAATGTGCATCGAATTAGCAAAGTCTATACAAATCCGTCTCTTTAATGACTATATACTAATTAGAATTGAAAAGAAATAATTTTTGAATCGCGCTGACCTTCCTTCCAAATCAATGACACCGCGAATATATATATATATATATATATAGACATCGCGTAATAAAACCATTGAAATAACCGCGGCGCGGCGGCCGCTCGTAAAAACAGTAACACAGGATTCCACTATATGTCTCCGAGAGGAACGATCAGTGGCAGTAATTTCGAGGAATCAGTGATACACGTCTCGACGGTTAGATATTTGCGAGAAAGAGCTGGAGAGCAAAGAGGGAGGAGAAGCTGTGAGGCTAGAACAAGGAGAAGAAAGATCGGACGGACAGCGGACGGTCGTCGAACAAAGGCGTTGCTATTTTCGTATGAACGTCGTGGAAGGTCGTCTCTCATTGAGCCAAAGATAAAAGGAGCGAGAAAGAAGCGGGATAAGAGAGGGACACGGATCATGATGCCAGTGTCTTACCTGGCGTTGCTCGACATCGAACGCCGGAGGAGATCCTTAATTCGTCGGAGATCGAAAAAGAGAACCGAGGAAGAGAGAGAGAGAACGACGCGGCTTTGTCTTGTCGAGGGGGGCCCTAATGAGCCCCATCAAGAATATGACATTCCTCGACTCGGACTCTTTCCGCTATGCATCACGGCTCGATACCCATCAATAAAGCGGTTAATGCGATCAGACTATTGGTATATACTCTTTGAAGAAGATTTCACGAAGAAAGATACAAATATCATTGAACAAACAATGTCTAGAAAAATGAATTAATTAAGCTGCCAATTTTAAAAGTTAAAGTAAATAATATATTATACATTTTGTAGATTATAATTTATTCCTGCATATTTTCTGCCACATAATATCGAGGTAATTCGATTATATGGATTTTTCTTTAGAATTATATATATATATATATATATTTTTTTTTTTTTTATGTATCAGAATAAATGTCACGTATGTTTACTTGCGATATCCGCGCGAATAGTTGGGAATAATTTCAGCGAAACGAGACATTGACGTTAACTTCTCGATAGCGAGTCGTATCCCTTCAGACTAAGAAGTTTGCTCGTGACTGACTCGAACTTTGCTGATTCGATCTGACCACGCGTCGTATCCGTACGTGTACCGATAAGTTAACAGCGATTGTTGGACGCGGGAATGGTCGAGGGGATACGAGGACCCGGTAGTAGAGAAAGAAAAGAGAAAGAGAGAGAGAGACCAGGATCACGCGAGAGGGAAAGAAGGAGAGAATGAGGAAAAAAGAGAGCGAACAAGAAGGCGGAAGAAGGAAAAAAAGGGGGAGTACCGGCGCAGTTGCATTCATTTACTTTCCCTGCCGGCATGAGTCACACTTGAAAGGACCTAATCTCACGCGATCGCGTCGTGTCCGGTGACCCCCGGTCGCCTTGGTCGACCTCCCTTCGAATCATCTTTCCCTTCTCCTTCCCCGACGACTTCCCCATCGAACGGCCCCTTTCGTTACACGCATTTAAATGACGCTGCTTTACATTTTTCTTTCCCAATATTGTGTTTTTATTTGTCCGGCTATCGTCGCCGCCGATCTCTTCCTGGCCTCGACAGCTCGCCTCATTTATTCCCGAATGTGTCACCCTGCGTTTCGCGTGTGGACTGACTTGGCGAACGGCGCGGGATATGCATTTCTGTCTGGTAGAACTTTTTTTTTCGCTGTCGGACTTGTTATCGTATTCTCTTTTCTTCTATCGAACAACTTTGTCTCTGGTTAAAGCGAAATATGACTCAACTTGCTAAAATTTCAACACGTAACATTGACAGTTTGTTAATCCTCAAAAAACAAATGTATTAAGTAAATAATCCCAAGTAATTGAAATCATAATTAATTTTCATTATTTATCATTTTTTAATGCATGCATGAATTTCAAGAAGAAAGTAAAAATGAAAGCTTTTCATTATTTGTGCAAGGATTAGGAAGCATTATTTTGATACACGCGTGTATATCCGATAAATTAGAAATTCCACGAATGAACTGAATCATACTTTATTAGATGCATTCCGAACGTGGTATAAATTGTCTGGGAGTTTCCCCGATCCCGTTTGTAACTTTGTTTACGATCAGGCAATACCGTTTCACCCCGGGCTCTTTACGCAGAGCACCGGTGTGCATGTGCACGGGTCTATTCGGAGAGATACCTATCCCTCGGTACGAAGTGCCCAACGGAAGTTACGTAATTAATGCTTTTTACCGTATTTTTTTTTTTCGAAACTATCCCTTCGTCGACCACCCTCGCACCGGCAGACGGCGATCCAGGTGAACCGTCGATATCCGTGTAGCCTCTCTCTGCGTAGTCGACCTGTTTCTCGGATCACGCCGATTTCACGGTCATAGATTGTTCCGGTCGATAGCAGAAATTATTGGCCTCGCTAAAGATCGTAGTATTTAAGCCCGAGAGAGAGAGAAACCAGGGCTTGTGGAGGATCCTTTTTTTATAATCGTATATAAAATTTGTTTGTTACAGAGAAATTTTAATAAAAATTAACAAACGCATAAAATATGTATGTGTCTCAAATGAAATTTATAAAAATCTTTCCTCAATGGTAAAAGTCGACCAAACTGGCAATTATTTATTATAAATAATTAGTTAAAATACAACGTTTCGGCTGTCATTGCATCATTGCCCTTTTCAAGTAAATCTATAAAAAGTTACATAACAATAATTATAATTTTAATACATTTCATCGCAACAAATAATTATAAATTCATATACAAAAATATGTTGCATACCACCGACAATATTCACCATTGTTTTAATGAACAGTGTAGACTTGACAGAAGTAAGCAAGAAATAAATAGATGTTAACAGTTAGCAAGAATCTTAGTCACTACGCGTTAAGAAAATCGAGACAAACTAATGTGTTTTTCGGAATCTAAAACCTCATAACAAAGTAAAATAAATCAATAAATAGGTAAAAATAAAAATAATTTAAATAGCGTCAAGAAATTTATAAAATTATACTATACGATAATTTAATATATATTTATACATGTAAACGATTTACAAAATATTTACCACTAATACAACATTCTCGTGAAATAAATATATTCTCTGTAGCTAGTCGAATGGATCGATCGATCATACAAGTTTCGCAGCACGTATGTAATTATTAGCATTTGCGTGTCCCTCTTTCATTTTTTTCCCCGTTTCAGACGATTGATTACCCTATTAAATTGTTTCTTCGTTTTCCTCTGTTCCAGGTAAGAAGCGGATATCGGTGTGCGCTCAAACGTATAGCGAAGTGAAACACTCGCCAGACAACCTGACGCGATTGTTGTTCGATGCTACGGGAAAAGGTAATCTCGTATAATTGTATAGATTTGATCGCAAAAGGAGAAAAAAAATTGAGCGGACTGCTACCTCGCATTATATAGAGCTGCCTTGCAACTCGACGCGACTTCGGGTCGGATCTAATCCGTAGATTTCAATCGTAAGAGGCTTAGACTCTTAATCTCTCGATGTCCGCTGCAAAATTATTTATCTTCCGTTTACGTTCTATAATGTTGCGGCAATGTCGCAAATACTTTTCCGATCCAATCTTTCAAGGTGTCGGATTAAAATTTTATAACTAATCAGATAGAGAGAGAAAAGCTCTTTATGCCGAGTCATTAAAATTTTATTCCATTAGATACATCGCGGTAAAGCAGTAAATCTATATTAATTCCAATCCCGAGTATCTAATATCGATCGATGCTTGCGTACAGGAGGTATCGACGAGGGATCGCGGTTTGAGCGCCGGATCGGATGCGAGTTACATCACTCCGATACAGTCGCGCAATTGCGGCAGTAATGCAATATCGTAGCTAGGGTAGTAATAGTAGAGTAATAGTGGTAGTTGTAATAACGATGACGACGGCGATAGCGGCGGTGGCATTGAGTGCGTCGACGGGGTGGGTATGTACCGTAGGGGTACGTTTCCTGTCCATTTTAATTGGGTTATTAACGGGCGCGAGTGTTTCCTGCCTCCTGTGACAAACACGGGGCCCTCTTTCGCAGCTGCCACCTCGTCAACGCCGCCCGTGCCACCGCCGGAAACCAATCTGTTCCGTTTGTCTTTCGTTCCTCGCGCGAGCGAGGACATAAATATGCATCGTGCTACTTAAAATTGCGCCGAAAAAAAAAAAAAAACACGAGTTACCGCTGGTGAAAGAGAGAGGGAAAATTCTCATTGGGGAATGCGTTCTCGGGAGAGAAAGAGAGAGATGGAGAAAATTCCGAGAGCGACGACGTGTCGACAGGCAGCTCTTGCAAAATTTATTAACCGTCGTTGCATCGGTAATCCATACTTGGTGTAACGGTGCTCGTTATTGGGCGAGTAACCACGATATCGCATTACCTGCATTAATACGCTTAATGCGCTGTCGAATGTTAATGGGACAATAGGAAGGGATTAATTCATAATGTTTGCAGATATGCCGTACGTAATTAACACATTGCGCATCTCAACATACGTAACTTCAATTAACTTCCACGAAGCGTGTACTGATTGTATTAACATATCAATCAATTATCATTATATTACGATGGGTTTGGCTAAGGGCGATTTGGGCTTTCAATATGGAGAGAGATCCGGTTTAATAATCTCTCTGTCCGAGATCTCTCTGTTACATTCATTTATGAGAAATAAAAAAAAACGTGGTAAAATGGAAACGATAGTGACTGTCAAAATGCATTGTAATAGAACGGACAAATCTATCGTGGATTTTTGTGTTCGCTTTTCCGTCGCTATGACGACGACGTAGTAGTTAGTTGTCATATTTCGTGCAACTGGCGCGTCGTCATTCGGCTGGAAACTCTCGCGTACCGGCGTTTAACCGAAGTCTTAAGGGGCACATGGATAAGCGTGCTGCATAGCGCGTTGCATAGCCGCGTATGCACCGCGAACATTGCATATTTATGAAGCGACGTGCATATTTACGAGCGGCTGTTCTGCGGGATTCACGGTACAACTTTACAACGCTTTCGGGAAAAGGGTGGGAGAAGGAGGTACAATTATCACCGTGCGAAAAAAGCCGAAGATATTGCACTGATAATTATTGGTCAAGATTGAGAGATGACACATTCAATTTCACACGCGAAAGATTTTTTTGCAATATTTTGCAAAAAACGCTTTAAAATTCTTTTTGTATAAGACAGAAAATTATTTATGTATACAAGATTCATATTTGTTTTATTTAATAATGAATAATTACTTGCTAATGATTAATTTGCCGTATTAAATTATATAATTATATTAATTTGAAAAATTGGCATACGAATCAGGTCCGATAACGTATAGATAATGCGAAGCGACGCAGTATTTGATAATTAATGCAAGGAATAATAGCGACGTTAAAGGATCAGAGAAATAAAATTTCTCGTCATCGCACTTGGATGTACAATTAAGCACGTCGGTATAAAAATTGCCGTGATTCTCGCCGAAGAGAGGGAGAGAGAGCTCTCTTTTTTTCTCTTTCTCCTCTCATTTATTTCGCCGCGTCACCGGTCGAGTCTCGCGAAATTTAGGTCAATTAAAATGCGCTTACCCGTGGATTTGCCGACACACAGCGCAACACGTGCACGCGCGGAATCATTACGATGCATGGACGTCAGAGGAAAAAAAAAGTCGGTGTAAAAAAAAAAAAGAGAGCGACAGGGAGGGAGGAAAGTACAAACAAGTCGTCCGGTGAAACGATGTTATTAAAAGTGGCTAATTGCCTCGCTTTATTATTGCCGGGTACAGCTGGATGGGCGAGAGAGGCTGTTTTTCATTCGCCGGAGTTAATTAATGATCCGCGGCGGGGAAAAAAAAAGGAACTTGCGAGGCACTCGACGCACTCGTTAAAACGCTTTATCGCTATATGGATGCTTGCGGAGCGAACGCTGTCGTGTGTTCACTCGCGAGTATTATCCTTGGACGCACATCCATGCAAATTACATAACAGAGAATCTATGGTAACTCGCGTAGCATTTCTCATCGTATTATTATTCCGTTTGCATACATTCTGACCCATTTTTATATTTAAAATACGTGACAACTTTATTTATTTTGCTACTAAGCTTTCAAATTTCACTTTTTTCCTTTTTTGATATTTATAATATAAATATATTATATACATGTATATATATATTTTTTTTTTCTTACGTAGACATTATTAATGATGTAACTGTATATATTTTAGAGGCGTATTAAAATATCTATGTTTGCCTGAGCTCTCGAGCTCATAGATCATCCAAAATGAACTTTATTGTCGTAGATGATATCGCTTGCTTGTTAAACAAAATATTCCCCTATTCGGCGCACGATTACCTTCAAGATTGCCCCGTCGGGCTTGGCGAAACTGAAAAAGCAATCTCTCACGCATAATAGTTCGCACATGCGAGCCCTCTCGAAATTTGCAAACACGTAACGATGTAAAAGCCGGCTCGGCGTTGCATGCAAGCGCCTGTTACGTGCAACATGGGTCGCTCGATAAGGGAGCACGACCCGTTATCATCGATCATCGTTAACTCGCTAACAATTAGCCCCGCCTGGCGTGATCGTATGTCTTGCCGTGATATTCTCGTAATTCTCGCCGATAATTACCTTTAAATGCTTAATTTCAATATTCTTACGCAATACTTGGGCGCATCCTTCACCGCCGGAGCACGGAAACAAAGCGATTATAATTTTCCATTATTGTGTATTTCTCCCCGTGTCTCTGCCTTTTCGTTACGTAATATCTCGATAATCGTGTACGAAGATGTATCCGAGAGATCTCTCCGCCGCTTGAGAATATTGAAACGTCTATAGTCTCTGCCGCACGCACATGGTTTAATAATTTTTTCTTTTTAACTCCCGGGAAATTACATGGTAATAATTGTGCGCGATAGGATATAATAGCGGTTTGTACGGATGTAATTGTAAGTGTTGTGTATGTTTCACGTATAATTATTGATTTATTATACTCGCGCACGTACGCGTTAATTATGAATGAAGATGTGTGGGAATAAAAAAACATGTATACTTACATTTAAAAGTTCGACGATTATACAAATTTGTCGTTTCTTTTATTATTAAATGGATGACAAATGTTCTAATCGTATTGCAATCGATCCTTGTAATCCGGAGCACATAAATTTCCAATATTAGACTCGTATGCGGACACATATATGTATAACGTTGCTAACACATATAACGTGATGTCATGCATCGTCTCCGCTTATTTGCGGTAGACACGTAATTGCTAGGCATTCAAGGCCAGTTTGACTATTACTTTGCGCTATTTTTAAGAGAATCATGCTTGACAAATTGTCATTATACGCCACCTGTTCCCAGCCCGTCATTGTTCTTTATTGTATATTTGAGGAAAATTACGACTCATGACGCAAATTTCTTATCCCGTACGGAACAAATTTGTAATTAAAGTAACACATACAGAGACACTCAGTGGTGCGCCGCGGAAATTAATTTCTCTTCAAAGAAAAGCCGGGAAAAACATCGCTACGTGATATTATGTATTTTGAATACCGCGCGATGCGACTTGAAAAAACCGTAGCTCGTAAAACCTTGGCAAATTACATTTCAGTTGGAGAGATATATGCGACTCCCCCCTTCCGAATGATAAAAACGCAAAGTGAACATTCCGTTGATTATCCGCGCTCCTGAGGAATGTACGGTCCAAGTGATGCGAGCGTAGAGTTATAATCGCGAGAGCAAGTTGGAAGCGTGCTCGCTAAAATATGCAGATCGCAGAATGCTTTATACCGACGTGGTGCGGAGTATAACGGATGGCCGGTGCGCGCTCGTATTCCAGGAGATGTTGCGTCCGTTGATCGCGCGCTCGTGAATTAATTAGAGTGGTGCGGTATGGAAGATATATCGACAGAGCGGCTATCGTGCAATTTATCCCCTTCTTACTAATCATCTCGGCCACACGTTTACGCTGACGCTCGGCGTCTCTCGCCATCGCAAAATTAGCCTCGGACATGGAGCCCGCAATTAAATATGATTGCAGGTATATCACAGGAACCAGGTAGCTAACATTTTACCGCGTGGTCGCTCAGAAATGCGATCGAGAAATAATACGGCGAAGAAAAATAGATTTTCGACGACGCTAGCGATGGCTAATTATAGACTCTGAACACTCGATCGGGTTCATTAATTAAAAACAACGCACCCTAAAATGTTTTTCGGATCCTTCGTATACCTACGTATGTATGTCTATACATATCGCGATGTCTCATATCCGATTCAATCCTGGATGTGGTTTATTAAATGGGTTAAATCGGCAGCGTGATGTGCATAGATCGCGAATCGTAGTTAGTTTGC